CCCAAACCTTTCTATGACTCTGTGACTCTGTGAAGCCAAATGGTGAAGCAGTGTTTATATCACTGTAGTAAATGAGTGCACTGAAACTGGCTTCAGCTGGAGAGCTTCCAGAGTTACACTGCAGTTGTACAGAAGTTAGTAAAACACAGCACCAGTTATTTACATTGTTAATTGGATGCATGCTTCATGCAGAGAAGTGACTTGTATAATTTTGTACACTACACAATAAAAATGTGCAGTGCTAAGGCAGCAGACTAAAAAGATGTTAAAGGGCTTTGAGTGTTTATCAAAGCAGCAGGCTGTTCAAAAACTAACAACAGAGACCTAAAGATAGAAAGAATACTATGTAGTCTAAACCTGTTTCATTTATCTAATAACTTTTATCATGGAGATAAAACCTGTAACACCTGAAAAATAGATATGTAAACTTTAATTTTTGCATATTTCCCTACCCTATAGTACTTTACTCCACCTTAAAATCACTGAGCAGCCCTCTGTTAAAAATATTAGCATGTATCTCTGTTAAAAATATTATTAGTAAAATTCTCATGTACGTTACGTGGAAGGTTTCAAACAGGTCTGGGTTTCAGTGTTGGTGTGAGCATACAGCAGGTCTGTACATAACGGCCTCCAGACCCAGATGAGCCCTGCTAATTTCCTGACCTCTCTTGCCATTTGCACGTGCCATTTGGTCTTCTAAGGTCGGGGAGATAACACACATCTCCTGGAAGAGGAGGCACACTAGTGCAGGCACATGTGCCCCTGTCCCCTGCCAGCAGCATGCAGCTCCCAGTGAGAACATGCCTGTGAGGAATGTGCTCATCTGGACGTGGAGGGGTACGTGTGGTCTGGCTGGCAAAGCTCATCAGGAGACACGCACCCTCATTCAGCTATTTGAAAAAGGGGTTGTTCTTTTCAAGGGTACAGTGTGTCTTTCAGCGTGTGTTCTATTACTGCATGAAGTGTTCCACACTGTATCTAAAGATCATTTCTCTTTCCCAGTTTTGGGCACAGACAGCTGCACAGAGAACTGGAATGGGGAGGAAAGAAAAGGTGTTTCCAAATCAGCAACTTCCAGGTAAATGGCAGAATTCATGGCCAAAAAGGAATGCCTTCTATCACTGTCTTTGTGATGTGGCAGTGTTAGGTATTGCAAATTTGGTGCATATGAAAGCTACTTTTTTTGAATAACTACTACAGAAATTTAGTTTAGACAGAAGATGACAGCATTTGAGTATAATCTTACATTTGTATTGATATAGTTATCTTTTGCCTTCTAAAGAGATTATGAATTAGCACATGAAGAATCATTCAGCACCACATTTAGCAAAATTGTAAACACAGATAAAGAAAATACCAGATAAAGAAGGTTCGCAGCGCAGTGCCTTTAATTATGGTTCCTGAAAGCACTCCCACTCACCTTTGCAGGTATTGAATCTCCTTCAGAAAAAAGGCAAGCAGCCACTCAATTGTCTGAATTGCCAATTGTAATCTTACAGGGACCATGGTAACCAGAAACTGATATCCTGATATCCAGCCCAATAGCTCTGTTTCAGCGATGCTATTTCAGAATTTCCTCTCTTCATCCTTATAGTTTAACTTATCTAGCATTCCACTGACTCCTCTCATATCCCACAACACGATTTTCACATCCCATCAAGAAAACTCCTTGTTTCTCTTCCTCAGCCTTCATAATTAATTGCCAACTGGTACTTTCTAGACCTCACTGAGATGTTTACATTTTTTCTTCCACACCCCCACCAAGGAAAGGCAGAGAGAGGGGATGTAGCTGCTGCAAAAGGCACTCCAGGCCGGTTGGAAAACACGATCTCAGCTCTGCCCCAGTGCTCCAGCTGGTATCGCCAAGTATTTTATGCACCTAATTCTGAGTAGGGTTGAAGTATTTGCAGGCAGTTCAGTGGCTCAATGCAGCTGGAGGGTGCACAGCTAAAACTTCACTTATTTGCATCTCACCTCTGTAGTTCCCATTTTTTTCTGAAGACAAGGCTGAGAGTATTCCTTATTTTTGAAGGTGCAGAAGTGTGCTGAAATTGATATCCAGTAAGAGAATGATATTTAAGGTTGTGTGGAGGTAATGCTCCTCTCCATCCCCCAAGTAAGAACTATATTCTCTAACATGACATAAAAGCAAGATTCTAAGTTATCTTTTGGATACACAACTAACACTGATGCGACTACAAGTTCCTTGAACTGCACAGGACTAACACGGTGACCAGGAGATTTCTTATGGTTAGCTGACACTATCTAGAGTAGGAATTATCAGTCAACTGCATCATTTAAATACGCTGCCATATTTTCAAACACTGCACATACACTGGAGAAACAAAAGGTGACTTTCCCACTGAATTCTGAACTGCAAACCTATAACAATATTTACCTTAATGAGTAAGGAAATGTGGGCAGACACTGCTGGTTACAGTTTAAGTTTACAACATCAAAATTTCAACAACTTCCCTACTCAGGGAAAATTAATAACAGTGTTTCCCATTGGAAGGTATTGAGTATCTTTAATTATGGTTATTTGTTTTCTTTTAATTAATTCCTGCCAATATCTCTAAATGTTCAAAACTAACTTTTAAAATCCAATATGAAATTGCTATTGTTTTTGTATTATCAAAAAAGAAAGATTAATGACACATTTCAGTAATTGAGTAATAAGTGGCTTTCTTCATTGTTCAAGCTATATGTAATCCTCAGTGGATCTTAGATGTAGGTTAAAAAGGTATTTAATGCCTGTTTTTCAGTTGCCAAGGGTCAAAAATCACCTAGCTTGTATAAAGAAAGAGGAAACATCTGTTGGAATAATTTATTTGGCTAACACAGAGGGTAGGATTAAAATTCACTGATTTCTTTGGTCTGATACTGAATTTCAATTAAACAATGGAAGTAATTGTTCAGTTTGACAAAATTTCCTTTGCTTCACACTTGGGCACACTTGTGCATATCACTGATTACTGAATCTGACTAGGGAATACTCTGATTTGTGATTACTTCACGTCTGCCTGCACTCCAAGAAAGAATATTCTTGTATTTCGACTTGTTTTTCATCTTCCTAAACATTTTAAAGAATTCACAAACCATTTACTAATTCTCAAGACTCTTTGGTTTCAACAACATTCCAGCAGTAACAAGAATACGTTGTTAAGACGTATTGGAACATGGGCAATTACACATGGAATGGCATGTATGTAATTGCACATGTATGCAACCTCTGGCATCCAGGAGAAGAGTCCTACTTTCAAAGCTTGTTTGAAATATCAAATGCGTAATGCCTTACTTTCTTCACGATGATCTTTATGTGAATCCAATTAAAAACGTGTATGTACATGTGTATGCTATGTGTACATTAGGCTAACACATACAATATGTATATAATATATTTACGTATGGATATAGTATGTCTGTATAAATTGCAATAGTTTACAAATGCAATCTTTGCCTTTCTAAAGTCAAAAGCAATTTCAGAAGGGCTAGGATTATACTCCAGCTTCCTAATACTGGCAGAACTTTTTCAAGCCAAGAAGCTCATCAGTTGAACAGCTTTTTAACATAACAGAGTAGAATCAGAATGTTTTGTTTAAAAGGAGACAGCAGAAATTCTTTCTGAAGAAAGTAAGTCGGAGGTATTGTACACGAACATTCCATTCTCCGTTAGAACTAAAGGGCACGGCAAATGAAAGCTTAATTTTATTCAGCCTGGCTCAAAAGACAAAATACTAATAAAGATGAAATGCAGGCTGACAGAACACTGAGTTGTAAGCTTATTTCACAAAGGAATGCCTGCAGTTCTTATTTTTGAATTTCTCCATTGCTGTGTGCCTTCTGCATCAGGAAAAAAATATCAAGAATAGGTGCATTTGTGGGTTCAGTTTCTTCTTAGGACAGAATATATCCATTGCCATTTGAAGAGCAAACTACTACTTCAAAATTGATTTGTAATTCCTCTTCCCATTTAAGGGAAAAGTAGATATTTTTAATCATAACAAATAATTGGGAGGAACAAAACCAAAGAAATGGGAAGCGATAAGTTGTCAAGAATAAAATAGTGTTAAATGTTGTTCAATCAAAACTTCAAACCTACTAATACATTCTGATTTGAATGTAAACTAAAATGCTACATTTAGTGCTTTAGTTGCAAAAGAATAGCTATGTCAGTTAAATTTGTTTGTTTTACAGAAAGGATTGCTTAAACAATTTTTTTGTTGTTGTTATTGTTGTCCAGTAGAGCTGATAAATAACAAAAGAGTTAAGTTACAAGTAATATTAAAAGACTGGAAGGAGTGGTGTTCCAAATGTGGTTCCAAATACTGAATAATCAGAAACACTTTTATCAGGTAACACTGGAAAAACTGAGGTCCCAAATTGCAAATCCCTGTTAGATTTTATTCCCACAGTCATGTTAGAGCTGGCAAGGATGCCTTTGTGAATAGGGAATACATACACTGAATTCTAAATTGTCTAAGCTCATCCAATGTCTGAATGTCTGTGAGGCACACACATCAAATTTCCTTTCCTTATTACTTCATCGCTCTTCAGCCGATGCTGCAGGAAAACTAGTCGTGTATATAATGCACTGAGCACATCCATTACAAGTAAGCCATAGTAGTGAAAAGTTTCTCCTTCACATAATACTGCACGCAGAGTACCAGTGCTCACCAGCGCTGTTGACAGTAACTGCATTTCCAAGAATTAACATCTGTATTGTTTCACTTTTGTTTACGACGATGATCAAATTCTGAAGACCAACCAGTGACACCCGAGTACAGCTCTTACTGTTACCTTGTCTGCTGATTTGTAAGCAGAAACCAGAATCATTATCCTGACTTACAACAGATAAAGACAATAAACACAACACCATTTAAAAAACTAAAACTGTTTGAGATGCAATTCTACTTCATGTACTTGTTTTCCACTGGCTCAGCAAGAACTGTAAAAGCAGTCCCCAAAAGAACTAATAGGAAGATGGCTGAGGTACATACCTGAGTTTTCCTCTGATTTCTGTTCTTCCACAGTTGCTGGCAGAGGATTCCTTCTGTCTTTGTGCATCTCAGACAGAATTAAAATATTTGTTTTTTCTGTCAGAGATGGACTATAGTTAAAAGGAAGAATAGAATGAGGTGCTTCAAGGCCAGCTGCAGAAACCAAATAAAAAAAAATTAATTCAGCATTCCAAGTCAAATGGTATCTATTTTAATATTTAATATAGTTAATTGTGAGCTTTGCATCTCAAAATGAATTTGTTTTCTATGTCAGGAATTCAGTGTCTTTTCTTTTAAGGCTTTTTCCTTCAAGACTGATTTTTTTCTAAGTTTCAAGCTTTTCCTTCTGCTAGTTGTGTATTTTGAAAAGGCCTTCACCAGCACTGGCGGTATAAACAGATAAAGTAAGTATAGAAGTCTGGTGTATTTCAGACATATTTACTGCAAAACACTCAACACTTTCTTTTGTTACATACATGGAAAGCAATCATGGGTATTTACAAACATTCAGCACATACCAGCTACTCCTTCCCATGATTCTGGGAGGCTGCAGTGGGGAAATCAGAAACACCCGTAAGCTGGCTCTAAAATTAAATTTGATATTGGAAAAGTTCAATTTCAACTCCTGTGCCTTTGTCTTACTGCCACTGAAAGCCTCATCTCTAATATATTTACTGTGAGCTGCTATTACAGTGCAGTCATGAAGTGATTAGTTTGCTTACAAAAATGTAGATACTCTGCATGTTCATTTGTCATTCGTCCTTTGCTTTTTTTCCTGACACCTTTGGAGGCTTTCCAATTCATTAGGAACACTCTTTCAATTTCTTTAATTTCTTTCCCATCAAGGTATTCTGCCAAAGAAAAGAGAAAATTTTCTATGATACCAGAAGAGCATTTGGTCTCTTCAAATCCTTTTTTTTTATTTCCCCCCTTTTTTAGTCTTTTGGTAAAAAATGATAATAAAAAATCCAACGATACATTCCAGCTTGATATTCATATTTTAATTAGATGCAGGAGTGAGTTGACATGTCTTGAATGGAAAAGAAAGCACCAATTCTTTTTATAATTTTCAAGACATATATATTCAGTTAAAATTATGGTTTCATGATTGAGGACAAATGTTATACACCAGAAATTCAAACTGGTGTGGTAGGAACTACTGTCACCAAAACACCTAAGCAACGCCCACAGGCTGACAGAGGATCAGGCTTAACTTATCTTTTAAAACCAGTTTTACACCTGGAATGTGAACACAAAGAAGTCTTGCTGCCTTATAACAATCTTGCTAATCACCTATCACTAAAACTAACGGTTACTGTTACTAGCAGCAGAAGCTATGTAACAAATGGTGCAGTTGTTAAAGGAGCAGTTTTAGCTATGTTGCTTGTACATAAAGTCAAAATGCATCATTTGACAGAACTATATAGGGCAATAATTGGCTTATAATAATTGCCATTCAAGAATGGTTAATGGAGCAGCTACTTTCTAAAACAGAAAGGGTTAAGAGCACGTTCTTTGATTGGCTGTTGCTTTTATTTTTTACCTAAAGTCGGTGACTGTACAACAATCCTGTCCCTGTACTTCGGTTTGTGGCAGATGGGGTTTCCTGTAAGATCCATGCTGCACAGCTTAGTCCATTTGTTCAATACAACCTCCAAATCCTACAATTAACACGAGAACAGAATACTGTGGTTATTTTCCCTTCCCCACTGTAGAACACAACAGCAATGAGATTTGTTCAGTCAGGCCCAAATCCCGCGCACAGAAGTCTCTTCGGTGAGATAATGCATGTACGTTGAGAACGTGCACCCTCAAAGTGGTGTACAGCATTCCATCAGTGACCACAGCTGCACAGCGAAAATGGTGCAGCAGTTGAAAGACTGTCTTTAAGGATACAGTGATGCCAGCTATGGAAAATGATCACTACAATTCCTACCACAATCTCACCTATAAACTCCTACAGCAGAAGAATGACCAGATAAAAATGCACATGCATCAAGTAAACTGTGCACCCCCATGCTCTGCAAGAGCCCTTAGCACATCACAGAGTCTGAAGAGATTTTGAAAAATCTGTGAATAACTGTTTCACAGAGACCCTAAAAAAAGCTACAAGGCCTGGAAAGCACAGCACATTCCCTCTCTATTTATACATACGTAAATTGTATTTTAAAGGGGGAAAAGTAATCCCCACCCTTCAATAACTGTGGGTGGTTGGTTATAATATTGGCCCCAATAGTGAAATTTTTGAAATACACCTTTCTCCATCTGGGTTTCTGCCTGGTTACCCAAGGGCAGTATGACCCAGGAAAAAAACTTCTCTCTTTTAAACACAATAAATTCAAGGTAAAAAGATGCAAAGCATAGCAGACTGCACCTTCCTACTCCAACACTCTCTGAAATCCCTTGTTTTTAGAATTCCACTTAACTGTCATTATCAATGTGCTTCCTTGTATGTCTATAAAGCTTAAGCAAGGATTTAAAACAAGGCATATGAATGCAAGAGATCTTTTTTTACTGTTGTACAGTTGTATTAATTTGGAAAAAACAAAAAAACCAACAACCCACAATGATTATGATTTGATAGATTCTAAACTGTGAAGTCCACAGAATTTTGTGCTGTGATGCCAACGATGGAATATCTAGCAATTAGAAATCTCTTACCTCCTTCAAACTTAGAAAATCACTCTGGGAATTCTGGATTTAAGTTAAGGTTATTAAAAAAGAAATAGGATTTAGCAAGTTTATTTATTTATTCTTACCTGAGCATTCAAGCATTGTTATTGAAATTTATAACGTGTTCTGGATTTCACTAGAGAGACTTTTTTCAGGTAATAGTTTTGAAACACAACATTGTCTACTGCTGAAATAAAATGTATACAGTTTAACTTTGATGAATGCATACTGGGAGTCCTGTAGGTTTTTGTTAGCTGTTACTTACTTGATAAATGACCCAGAACATGCTTACTCCAGTGTGTGTTTATCTAAGAGCACACTAATCCTGTGCTGAAATATGATTACCCTTTCGATACGCTCTAGTTGTTCATTGCCTTCCTGTCTCTAATAAAGTGCTTTCACTTCCCAGCCTTTCAATAAGCTGTACTAAAGGGACCAGACACTCTTTTGGGCAGTCTCCGTTTGATAAATGATCATGTCATGCTATCACTTTGAGGTCTGCTACAAAATACTGACGAGCAAATTATATTCCATCTATGGGGGGAGCGGGGGAAGGGCAAGTGCCTTAGTAGGCAGCTGTAGTGCTGGCAGTAACATTCCTACCAATTAAAGATGGCCATTTAAGAATTGGTATTTGACCAGTTTGCTCCAGTTTTTATCGGAGATGTCGACTACAACCATTCTAACTGCGTCTACAGACAGCCATTTGTCACCGTTTTGACTACCTGTCATAATCAGTTGGAGAAAATCTATAATTTTTCTCTCGTTCCTGACTCAGTTCTGAAGTGAATGAATTCATCTTTTGTGATATCCTCTTGTCATAATCAATACTGGGCAGAGGTTGAATAAATTAAAGACTTACGTACGTGTACATCCTGACTTATGTACGTGTTTCTAGCTGTACTTTCGCTGTCTAGCCAAACACTTCAGTCATAATCTCCCCAAATCTGAAGTCTATTGTTTATACATGTATATACACATATGTGCACTCTGTCTCTGTGCCATCAGGACTTTTAAAATCACAAATAGCTTTGAAAAAAATTCCCCTTAGTATTCTTACCAAAACATACAGCAACTTAGAAGACCTGGTGAGCCTAACTGAAGAAGCTCCATAGAACGAAATAGTAACAATAGAAAGCAAAGAAAAGCCAATTCTATAAAAATCAGTGATACTGTGATATCTACAGATATCTGTGATATCTATAAAAAACAGTGATACTCACATAACATGCATTTTACATGCGGCAGGCTCAGTAAATTGTTTTCCATGTGCTGGGTAGAGTTACCTACTTTCTGTTCTGTCTACTGTTCTGACCATGTTACGTAAAATTCAGGCACATGAAGTGAGGTCATATGCCTTATGTCTCTTAACTATGCTAACAATTCCCTGAATTAGCCAGAACATTACATGCATGACTTCACTAGCCCTAATTTTCTACTATGCTGAAATCAGCACGGCATCGTTGAAAATGCAGGGAATACAGGTTTATATCAAAATGTGACAAAAGCTGAGATAAATGTCTAAACATCAAGGATTGTACTAATTATAAAAAGTAAGCAAAGATTACGTGAGAAAGTTGCCTTTTGTGCATTTGTTACTTTTACACAATTCCCTTTTTTTCACAGACCCCACTTCATTCCTGCTGTCATCTACCTCTGCTACACAGCTTACAGCTGTTGAGCAGACCTGCTAAGACCGGATGGCTTCTCCACAACTTCTGTTCACTGGGTGAAGCAAAGCTGAGTACTGACTCTCTGTTGCTCCTCACTCACTGAGGCACCACCACAGTCTCTGATCAATGCAAAAAATTCCTGGAGATGATCTTGCTGGCAGTGATGGGCTGGTAGGAATGGTAATATGGGATTTAGAGCTGGATATCCAGCTGTGTTACCCCGTTTGACACATTTAATACAGTAACTGGTTTTACAGGTCTAAAAGAATACAAATAGAAATACCTTCAAAACTTGGACACTGCTTATACAACCAAGGATGGCCACCTTCAAAAATTACCAGAGCTTGATCTGAGTTTAAATGACAGCAGGAGCAGCAGGTAACTCAAATGCTAACAACATATTTTTTCAACACTTGTGATTATATCACATGGAAATCTGTATGTCTAATTTACTGAGATAGATATTAGTTCTTGTCTGCCCGATGAGAAAATAATGAGTTCTAACAATTAACTGAAAAATATACACATAGTAACTGAACAATGTACTGTTTTCATCCATTCATTCTGTCTCAGAAGACACTGTCTTTTTTCCTCTGACACACTGAAATACCGCTTCTAAACTGGCATCCTCATCCTTAGTAACAACCAGCTGTTTGGCTAGGATGATCTTCTTTAAGATCATCACAACTGAAGGATTTTGTACTTAGAAGAAGGAAAGAAACAATGAAAAGAAATCACACACTAAGCTTTCTTTTGAAATGGATCCTTTTTGAGAGGAATCCTTTTAGAAAGACATACATACCCATTTAAAAAACCTGAGTGTTATTCTGATTCGACCAACATATCCAATCTGGTTTTAATTATCTAGCCTAAGCCTATATGAATTGTACTTCTATGTGAATTCAATTACAATTACCAGCCAGAAGCATAGCTTGAAATACAAACCATTAATAATACTCTGACTGAAAAAAAAGAAAAAAAGAAAAAAAGAAAGAATGCATTATTCGACATTTTTAATATTAAAATATATTTTAAACAAAGAGTCCAAATAAAGTATATTGACCCAGATATTTGCTAGATACGTACAGGAATCTCCTCATCAGTAAACAGAACTGCCAAATTAAACATTAAAGGCATTATGTATTCTAAGAGTTAGTTGCCATACTTGTTCTAGTAATTACTGACCTATAGTAGTTCCCTTTTTGTAAGAAAATAGAATGTATATGCAAACCAGTAACGAGACAGTTTAATTTAATCAAGGTATTTTCTTGATGAATTGGGTTATGATAGAAGCCAATTCATTTTAGTATTTATTAACTAAATAAGTCAAAAGAAAGCAAAACACGAATGCCTCACGTTTATATGAAATGAAAACAGTGTTTATCGGGAATCATTTATCAAGTTTGTTCTTTCATGCCTGTACCATCCAGTGATAGTGTTAGCAGTGTTAGCATACTGTTCATCGTAGATTTACTACTCAGTATTATTGAGCATGAAACTCAAATTATTTTTTGAACTTCTGTTTACTTCAAGAAGTAGAAAACATCATAACTCCTAAAATAATGAGAGGTGAGAAGGCCAATGTTCCTGTTCCTTTCTGAGAGGCTGGAAGTTTGAAGTCCAGAACATTCTGCTTAAACCATATCCACTACTGCAAAAGGAAGAGCAGAAATACTTTTGTTTCACTTGTTTTAGTTGTTACTGTGCGGCTTAGAGCTCTTGCTTATGGAGACTTCTGTTTCCTTCACAGAAAGAGATTCAACATATTGTTGTGTCAAATACTTCTTATGCTATGCCAACGACAGTCAAAAAGCCATTTTGATATTAGAATGGATAAAGGAACAGCTACATAATTTGATATCTAAGAGTTTGCTTTTATTTACATTTCAATTGAGAGTTAAGGACTACAATATAGTAAATAGCTGTGAGTTAATTACAAAACACTGGCCATGTGCTCTGAAATTAAACTACTAATAGTCACTCAGATGGCCAACACGTACATGCGTTCTCTACATTTTATACACGTTATATTATAAATTCTGTGCATGTTAGATCTATCAGGCTGATAGATGCATGCACAGCTGTGTCTTCACATAGGATTAAAGGACATTTGGACATCCGAGATGAATGACTCTCCATTTTTAACCTCGACAAGATTTCTGAATAAGAAAAGCTGGCTTGGAAAGTCAGAGGTTCAGAAGCTGTAGAAGTGTTTTTTACTTCTTTACTTGTTTATTTTGCGATAAAGATGAGTGTAACTTCTTTTAAAATCATCCTTACTAAGTTGAAAAAATATTGATTTTAATACCTTCGTATGTTGAAGTTGATTGTCAGCTGCTCTAAGATGAGAAAGATTTTCCAGAACTGCCAGTTCTTCCAATTCATCAATGTTGTTATTGCTAATATTCAACACAGACAAAGATTTCTGGAGGAAAGAAAATGTAGAAAATGATTTTTTTCATGCTATGCACGACTTGGTTGTAAATTCTTGATGGAAAGTGTCTTAAAGAACAAGTGTGAAGCACAAACATACATGCAAACACTTCACACCTCACACATTGTTTTCTCTTGGCTTTGCACCCTGTTCTGAAGTGCTGCTTATTCTGGCTTTGAAGTTAATCCAAAATAAGATTATTTCTCAATTATTTCAGGAATTCTTAGCAAATACAGATGCATTTTTTTTCCAAACAATACAGGTATATATATATATATATTTTTTTTTCCCAGATGCTTTACAGAGTTCTGCAAGTTCACCAGCTCTACCTCAGAAGTAGATAACAGACAGAGAAATTGACTTCTCAAAGGTTACATCTGAACCACAAAGAGCTGAAATCCACATCTGATACCCACGCTCCCATTTAACAGCTCAACTATCTGGTTTCTCATTTTAGCTTAATCCTGCCAGCTTCTCTGTGCACGTATCTCTGGTTTGCCCCTTTGGAACAGCAGTGAGTCACATGATGCACTTTGCCTTTTCTAACAGGTAATAGTTGCAGAAATCTTTACATTCTAGATAAGAAGCAAATGTAGTTCAGGTATTTATCTCAGGAAATACTTAATGCAGTATCACATAAAAGCAAGGAGAAGGTGATATGTCCACAAGATGGAAATGAGTCCTTAATGCAGTCAGTTTAGAGTCATACCAGATACGGTGCTTACCACTGGTTAGAAAATGTCCATTTGTTTCAGCACTAAAGATCATGAAACTTAGCCTCCTTTTCAAATCTGAGCTACAAACAAGACCTGTGTTACAGACAGCAATTGCCAGTATCCTCTTGATACACACAGTGTAACAGGCTCCTCACACAAATGATACAGCATACTGTCATCAGCAAAACATGCGCTCAGAGTACGCCGAGAGCTACACGGCCCCGTGTTTTGGCTCTTTTGTCTGACGTCATTAAGAGCCCCAAAAGGGAGAAGATGAGATAAGAAGACATCTTGTAAAAAGGGACAACATACTTACTGATTGAAGAGTAAAAATAGAATGTTTTACAGGTAGCTTCCAAAAAGGTATAACGTGATCGAAGGTGAAAAGTCTGGAAAGAAAACCAAACCAAACCAACCTCCAGAAAACTTAAATATTAGCTAGGAAGAACAATTTGCTAGCGAGTCTTTGCAGGGTGCTGCAAAACACTGAAATATATGAGCTATCATGCTGGGAAAATTGAAGCTGTATAATCCTCCTCTACTTTCATCATCTCTCCAATGCAGAGGGAAAAAAATAAAAGTGCTGTCACAGTAATGGCCCATTTATTTTAAAGAAAAATAGTAATACATGTCTTGGATTACGACATCTCGAACCAGCAAGAATTAGAGCTAGGTGAAATGTTTGTGATATACACATGAAAAGAACTCACTTGTCAGTGAATGTTCTTTGTTCATCTTCACAAAACAGATCATAAATCCCTGACTGCATCAGGAGATACAGCAAGTGAATTTTACTGCAGTACAAAACTACAAACACTAGTAATTGAAGTGTACTTTAAAACAAACAAACAAAACTATTTCAACAATAAATTTGATGTTTACTGAGCAACTAACATCTCAGACTAACATTTCAAAAGCTGACTTCGTGGAATTTTTATATACCACAGCATAGAAGAATGGCATGGCCAGAATGGAATGCTTCAGATTGCCTCTCAGTATTGCCATCAAGGAGCTGTTTGCCCCTGCTGTTGGCCATTGCAATATCTGGAGAAGTACAAGAGGCAGTAAATAAATTAATGTGATAATCAAATCAGGGAAATATCAACAAAATAATTGTTTACTCCTTGCTTGTATGACAACAGAGATGGGAATCCCTTGGTAGAATTTGTCAGTCTGCCGCCAGTTCTCAGAAAAAGCACACACAACAATTGAGTCCTTCTAATCATTCACACTAAAAATACTGACCTATTGATTAACAGCCCATTGAAAATCTCCATGTACTTACTGCCAAGGACCTGAGGGATTTGGGATCAAAGAGAAGCTTTTCGCCAAGAGGGAGGTGTTGACTTTCAATATGTAGCTCCCTTATTTCTTTTAATTGATCCAGACCCTCTACTACAGCGATGGAGTTGCCCCCCAGGTACCTGAAGAATAAAATACAAAGTTGGTTTTACGTCCTTTGAAAGTGAAAGTGAACACAAGACATCAAAACACTATTTAAAAAAAAAAAAGTGCTATTGTGTAATGGTTGGAAATCATAATAGAAAAAGTAAGGTAGCGTGCCAGTAGGACACACAGCTAATGGATTCCTTAGAAACTTTATGTTTAAACGAAAAAAAGAAATACATGTTAAGATGTCATTACTTTACTCATCATAGAACACTTCATTGAAAAATCATAAGCAGTTCTTTTTAGTTGAAAAGCCAAACTTAACTATTGAAGAGACCTTAATGGCAGCATCTTTTTTTCATTTCTTAGTGTAACAATTATTCTTTCACCAGTAAAATAAATCCACTGTTTTCAACTTACAGTTTTTCGAGGTTTTTCAGTGATGAGAGATTTTCTATGCACGAAATGCGGTTGTTCTGCAGGTAAAGGTGTGTTAAATGTGAAGCAAAGTCCAGGTTCTGGATTTGACTGATTTGGTTATCGTACAAATACAAAACTCTAAGGTTTCTGCACAACGAGATGTCACCCTGTAAGAAACAACGGCAAATTGATGCCTTATTGCTTTTATTCACTGCCTGTTTCTGGAAGCTGTTGATTGTTTTTACATTTAAACTTATTATTACACTTTTAACTATATTTTTTTTCCCAGAAAAAAATAAATTGGAGTCAATAACAATCTCCAACATAGATTTATGACAGCAATAGGTGGTTACTGTTCTGCTGTCTAGAAGTTGAGGATTACATCCATCAGCAGCAGATAGATCAGATCCTGTGTGACTTTATTCCCTTCCCTGCCTTCATCAGAAAGATTTCAGAAAAGCACAATTGTGAGTTGTCTCCATCAAACCTCAGAGATGTAATACAAAACAGTTCTTGGCAAAGGAAGAACGATTTCTACAAAAACTGTATTTGGATGTACTTCTTTTGTGACAGTTCCACTCAAATGTCAAGTTTCTTTCTACTCCTCTCAAAACACTCAATGGTAGCATGTTTTTTTGTGAGTTTCTCCAAAACTTCTCTGTGGCATCTGATGAACCAACCCCAAGCAAATGGACTGATGAAATTAACAACTCACTGAGGCCATTCCAAGGAGTGAGATGAATGAAAAAACCTATTTGCTTGCCTGGGTCTGTTCATATGGTACAAGGTACTTTAGACCTCTTAGCTGAAACCACGCTTTTGTTTTTAAAACAGAAATCCATTACACACAACAATTCAGTTATTCAGGGTTCAGCCATTTCAAAATGTGCTCAGTATCTTCAGGGGATTCAAATTAACTCGGGACTTAGGAAACCGGTATAAATTTCATACCATCGAGCTCAAAGGGGGGAGGGACTGGGTTAAGTGTGCGGGTTTCGTTTTTGAAAATGGAAAGGTCATGGATTATTTCTTAAATGAATAAGCTCCAGGGAGCAATTAAAAAAAAAATATGTAGATTTTAACCTGTCTAATTTGAAAAAGCCACTACAGCAGTCCAAATCTGTTAACCTCACTTGGCTCACATCCTGTTCCTGAACTCTCCTTTCCTTTCTCAGACTTCCTCTGAAATCTAAGGACTAGACCACAGATACACGGAAAATATTATGCTGAAAGTTAACAACCCTTCTTGACATTCCCAAGAATGGAAAAAATACGGCATTAGAAGGAATGAAATGAACATTGCACTTAGTTGTATGTAATATCATTACAACTTCCTTAAAAAAAAGAAAAAATCTGATTTCCTTATCTCTCCCTCTGTTTCACACTTCATATTTTTGACAAGGATAACCATCAATACATAAAAATCTTTAAAGCAAAACCCAAACTTTTGCTGAAAACCTTTTTTTTTGGCTTGGATCTAAAGTGCCCAGAACTAATATAGCTGGATGTCAGCATTAGAGCACTGCCATCAGAGTCCTGCACCTAGTGATTCCATGGCAAAGACCTGGCTGCAGTCTATAAGAAAGCATCATGTCTAAATGATTAAATTTAAATATTACATTCATGTAAGCAGCTGAAGAAGTGGATTCATCATTTTTATTCTGGTGACTTCCTAAGAGGTCCTTTGCAATATAGCGACCATATGAAATAATAAAAGCAGCAAATTGTGGTTTGTTGGTGTTTTTTTTTTTTGTTTTGGTTGGTTGGTTTTTTTTTTTTTTTTTTTTTTTTTTGTTTTGTTTTTTTTTTTGGTAAGCTGCAGATTTGTGTAACACTGCAATACTGAAAATGCTGAAATATTGAAAAGATATTTCACTATCACACTTCAATTCACCAGTCTTCCTTGTATATTACATGGATTTTCTTTAATGGCAAAAATGAGTAAATGTACTGACAATGCCTTTCTTGTCAGCCACACTGATGTATGTATTTCTCCAGTTTCACATGGGTAAGGCAGTTGAACACAACTTTTGGTACAGAAAGAAAATTGTGTCCGTTTGATACAGAGGGACCCGGCAGACTGTTGGAGGCACTTGCTCTGCTGTTTTCTATGAAAAGTTTGCTTACATATTTCAAACGCATTTGAAAACCTTCAGTATACCAGCAGGTAAAAGCAATTTTCCACAGAAGAGCAGCACGTTAAGCAGTGAATGCTGAAGCATGTTTCCTAACTGACAGATTTTTAAGGCTTAGCTTCAGATACAAAGTTCGGATATTAAGGAGTAACGTATCTGCTACAGAATATAACCTTTGCTTTGCTTGCTGGTCTCCACAGTGATAAACAAGTCATCAGAACAGTAACAACGGATCATCTACCGCCGGGTTAAAAGGAAGGAAGAGGAACAGATCTTACGATTGCATCTAGGTTTCTATCTGATAGATTCAGATGAGTTATTTTTCGCAGGTGCCGTCCCAAGTCCTCCTCCCTGCGGTTCCTGTGGCCGAGGCACTTGGCGATGAGGTCAGTGGTCAGCCGCACCATGGCTGCGCTGCAGGCCGAGCCGCGCTTCCTCTCGCACTGATGTGCACGTGGGACAGAGAGCCTGAACGTGCCTACAAAACAAAGAGCGAAGGGTCAGGCTGCTGGCAGCCCGAACCTTGAACACAGCTGCTGTGTGTATTCCAGGCGTGCTGCTTCCCCACGGGAACCGGGGCACCCGAGCAGCGCTGCTTTGTGGGGAGCTGGCAGAAAGTGACAATGAAGGTCGCAGAAGCAGCTAACTCCCTTGCTTGCTGTTTCAGCTTTTTATTTTTGTTTTAATGAAAGGAGGACAAGATGGAAAGCAAGAAGGACGCTATTTCTTTTCACTGTGACCCGTACTTCTTTCTTGACGGTTTTACACGACAACCCTCCCCGAGCAAGCAGTACGGCGACGGGACGAGCCGGGCTGCCGGCAGCGCCGGGTGCGGGACCGCTCGGCCCCGGCTCCCAAGTCGCCGCGTGACACCGAGCTCCGCACGGCTCAGTGACCTTCGCGTCCCGTGCGACGGTTGCTTGTACAGCCCATCCCGCAGCACAGCAGGGCCGGGGCAGGCAGAAAGGGGCAGGGTCCGCTCCCGAGAGGAATCCCGGCCCCGCTCCCCCCTCACCTCCCGCCTGGCGGCCACTGAGGCAGCGCTCCAGCCGCCACCGCCGGCGGTTGCCACGGCAACCAAACGCCAACAGCGCGAGGGCGGGGATCGCTCCCGCCGCGCCCAACCCGCGCTGGGAGCAGAGCGGAGGCGGGAACGGCGCCGCGGCTGCCTTAGCACAGCGGGGTGACGGGGCGGCTGGGAACGGGCTTCATCGGCCTCGGTCTGAGCCGCGGCGTGACTCCTCTCAAGTCGGGACGAACTGGGGCTGCGGGCTGCTGGTTTCAAGCTCGCAGCGTCCCTGGGGTAGAAGGCTGCCGGGCCAGGGGTGTCTCCCGCCTCCTCTGAGCGCGGCCAGCCGTGCGGCGCACCTCAGAGCTCTCAGAAGGGAGCGTCACAACCGGAGGCTCTCGCGGGAAAAGCTTTGAAGGTTGTTAAAATAAATGGGTGGTGAACAGGACCGCTGTCAGTGCCTCGTCGGTGTAGCGGTAACGCGGTGTGCCCTGGCACCCATCACTTGCCTCCTCAATTAATCAATGAGAGTCTGATCACAAGAAATACCTCAGGAAGCAAGCTTTGAGCCAAAAAAACAAAGGATTCTTACACCCCCGTCTTGTGGTGTGCCTGCAATGCCAAGTCCTGGTGACGGCAAAGCTACAGCTTGTACGTTTGATCAGTCTTTCTTGGTGCCTTTTTAAATGAATGAGTTAATTGCTGAGGGAAGGGGGCTGTGCTGCCATCCACAGCGACCTCAGCAGCAGCCTCATGAAGTCTAAGTCATGCCCTGGGGAGGAGCAGGCCCAGGAAAGGCAGGGCAAAGCTCTTCTCTGCTGTGCAGGCGATGGAGCAGTGGCACAGGGCTGGCTGTGAAGCCATCTGGATGTGGTCCTGGACACCCTGCTTGAGCCAGTGACCTCCAGAGAACCCTTCCAACCCCAACCAGTCTATGATTCTGAGAATTAAGCATATGAGTAGAATCGTAGAATCCTTAGGGTAGAAATGGCCTAGATAGCCTCTGAAGGCCAACTCCCCTGCAATGAACAGGGACACTACAGCCAGATCAGCTTACCCAGGGCCTGATCCACCCTCACCTTGTAAGTCTCCAGGGATGGGGCATCAACCATATCAACTGGGTGACCTGATTCAGTGCCTCATCGCCCTCACTGTAAAAGACTTTTTCCTTGTATCTAGCCTAAATCTACCCTCCCTAAGCGTGAAGCCATTTCCCCCTGTTCTACTGACACAGATCCTTATGAAGAATCTGTCCCCTTCTTTCCTGAAGCCCCCATTTAGGTACTGAAAGGCTGCTATCAGGTCACCTCTCAGCCTTTTCCAGGCTGAAGAGTCCTAGCTCTCTGAGCCTGTCCTCATAGGAGAGGTGTTCCATCCCTTGGATCATTTCTGTGGCCCTCCTCTGGACGTGCTTCAACAGGTCCACGTCTTTTCTGTACTGAGGACTCTACATGTGGACATTTGAATAACATCACATCATAGTAACTCAGTGTAAATCCGTAAAACCTATGTGTACTATGTGCTTGCTATGCATCAGTTGAAGTCAGTGACAAAATACACTGCTTCCAATGAAACCAAGATTAGGATTTTTATTTCAGACAGGAAAAATGACAGTGTTGTAAAGAGCAGTCGTGTTCTGCTTTGACTTTTGTTAGAAATGCATACAAGGTACAAAGAGTCCCCTTCTTCCAACCTGGAATTTCCTATATTCTTTTGAAGATACAGATCATAAGATGTCCTTATTTCAGCAATGGAATCCAAACTGTGCGTACCCTCAAGCTGCTTGTTCTAAGAAAAGTTTCTGTCCAAAAGAAGTATTTTAATATTACAAAAGTTAATTTTGGACTTAGTCTGTTCTCCCTCACAGCTGTAGATTCTGCAGGTGTCCAGGGCTGTCTGTTGGTAATTTGATTTAAAGGCAGAAAAAATCTAGGAGAAGTTTCAGAGAGAGTATTTATTCATTAAGATTTGAAATAGGATTCTCATCTAGTGGCACAGAGCATTAAACAATCGTCTGTGTACTCTCCAGTGTGGCAGTAATTTGGCTGAGTACAAATAGTCCTTGTCTTCAAATCTGCTTTTGGAAATACCTGTATAAAAACACTGGTGGCTATATTTCTTACAATTCTAGATTGGAACACTGAACACACATTTATTTCTACGGACATAAAACACCTTAAGAGTCTCCTTTGTGTAAATGCTAGTGTGCATTCTGCATAGTGCTATTTCTGTGTGCATGAATTACATGTGGGGGTGTGTCATACAACGATTGAGACAAATAATCTTAGAAAATATTTAATACTTCTAACTGTAAAATATTACATTCAAGCCTAACTATTTCTGATAAACTTTTTCAGAGTCAGGTTTTAAACTTTTATTCAGTAAAGGGTAAACCTTCTCCCGAGCACCTTACCTTCCTCCTTTGTAGTTAGAGCTACATGAAATGCAATTGACACAACTGCTTCAGTATAGCTGTTTTAATGCATAAAATATCTGAAATAATTAATTCTTTCCACTGAATTTAAACATACATTTTGCATTTTATATATTCAGGGGGAGCAAATATAAGGTTCACAAAAACGTAAGCTTTCATTTCAATGATTTTAATAGGGGAGTGCTGTACTGAAATGTCTTTGAAAAACAAAGCTATCATCTGTTCAGTCTGACATTTTTTCAGCCCAGTTTCTTAAGGAAATGGTACTTACATGTCCTTGTTGTGTCTGCCTGTATACACAGCCTGTTAACCCAGGATCTGGTAGCCAGATGGGCAGCAGGAGCAGTGCAGAGGGTGTTACAGATGTGGAGAAAGACCTCCAGGTATGAACAACTACTTAGTTACAGTCAGCAGGCAGTAAAATGCTACAGATAAGGCATCATTATTTTTGCTGCTCACAAATAATAATTCTGGTAAATACATGGTTTTCTCAGTAATAAAGTTTTGTCTGCATGTCAAATTCTGAAATAGGTGTATTCTGGTATAACTCCACACATTCATATGTCTGTTCTGGAAGTGTTTCAGTTGAGACACCTACCTGGAATAATTAGATAAAGCCATAACCTTGTGTACAATGTTTCATGTTCTTGGACTCGTTCTGTTCCATGACAACTACTTGGTAACACCTCGATTCTTGATTTTGTTTAAGCAGGATCACTTGCATGGATTCTTGCAGAGATTGTGCATTCAAAGCTAAGGCCATTTTTCCTCCCTGTGCTGGCCATGTTTGGGCAGCACTGGATTGGAGTTTTTTCCCTGCAGTGCATTCTGCTAAGCATCCTTCCAGTGAGGGTTACATGATCTTCACCAGATAATTTTCACTGCTTGGCTTTATTCCTTTTTCTGTATAATTTCTGTTTGCAATTTGATTAATACTTTTGCTGATATTGACTGCTGATGTCAGTAGAACTGTGTGAGCCTAAGCAAAACCTAAGCTCTGACAGGAAATCCCTGAAGTAACTAAATGAAATAGGTAGCAGCCTTGCTGAAGTTTCCAAAATGATTTCTGCAATTGAAACAGGTACAACACCAGACAAAGCCACAAGACCAATATAGATAATTATTACTACACAACTTTAAGGTCTATTATTACTACAAAACTATTACCATCATTATTGGCAGTTGAAGGCTTTTTTGACCTTGACCTACAAAGTTCTTGCCTGTAAGACTGAGCACAGATTTAAAAATATTTTCCCCACGTGACTCAAGAAGAATCCATCTATGTAGTATCTGTATAGGGAGACAAGAAGTGAAATATCCTCTGTGCACTTCCCAGCATTAAAATCTATTGCAGCCTGAAAGTAAAAGTGAAGCTATTAGAAAACTATATGCTTGCTGTAAATGTCCTTATGGTGTTTATAATAGGTCTTCAGTAACATTGCATTTTACCTCCAAAAGAGACAACAATGTTGATTCAGTCTCCAAAGATGAGTGAAAGTAAAAACGCAGAACATACTTTTACAGATTTCACTATGGAGAGAATAGCCATTAATCATGCTGCCACTTATCACCAGACAGAGCTGTAGAAGACAACAGCTTTCCATATAGTGTTGTGAAGTTAGATACACGAACCAGAATGTAGAAGTTACATGCTGCTAATACTCAGCATTCAGAAGGTGTACTGGTCTCAGCATTATTTTGTCAAACACTGTGTGCAGAGTGAATGTGAGTATTCATGCAGTCACTCCATGTTCTTAAACAGATTCAAGTTTTATTTACCCTTTGCTCGTCCCTGGCTTTTACACAAGTCTTTGTTAAACCATCTTAATCACTTCAGAATTGTACCTAGTTGTTGTAAGATCTTTTTTAAAGGAAAGGTAAACATTCCACAGAAATCACAGGTTTAATGAGAAGCTAATTTTGAATTGATAAACCACACAAAATACCTAAACCTTACTGAAGTT